CCTGTATATAAATTTTATGTCGACTTTATGTTTTTAATAAATAATAATAAAAAAAATACAAAATTGAAATTATGTAATGAGCGGTAAAAGTTATAACTATAATAAACGTGATGGTTGGGTAAAGTAAAGTCCCGAATGGGAACATTCAAGTTGTGCTAGGAAAGGATCCAATCTATGTGCGAAATTATTCTTTTGCCTTTAGTAGTGTAGGGTACCCTAACGCTGTAAATTTTAGAAACATTTGACTTGAACTTTTGAATCAATCTTAATCAAATATTTATATCATAGATACATATAGCTTTTTAGAAAATATTAGTGTATGTATACTCTTTACATGCGGGAATTCATTTCCAATGAAACAGATGTTTTTTTTTAAATTAAAACGCGACCTCAAAAATCTAGTTTAAAGATGAAGAGATAGCGAATCCGCGGTTAGCGATTTACTACATATTCCTTATATTTAAATTAAAAACACATGTTACATTCAAATCACGTAAGCGGTCAATTCGCGCACCGCTTCGCATAATTAAAAATGACTTCTCCAAAGGTCACGATCAAATTATCTGAAATTTTAATTTTTTTTTAAAAAAAGTAGGTTATTCAGAAGATACTGGAAAACGTTTTTTTTTGGCAAAATCATTAATTATTAAAATATTTTTTTTTAAAAAAAAGGCTTTAAAATACCAACTTTATATAATTTATTTTATCGCGTTTTGTTTTATTATTAAAATTTTTAAAAAGATTTGATTTTACTCTAATGGTATTCCAGATTCCAGGACAATTTTAGCCGTGAATGCCATAATTGTCTAAAAAGTCCAACGACAGTCACTACGATGGAGGTCTGCAATAGTCAGATTTTTAGCTCGCCCAAGCCCGTTCTCTTCTCTTCTCTTCTCTTCTCTTCTCTTCTCTTCTCTTCTCTTCTCTTCTCTTCTCTTCTCTTCTCTTCTCTTCTCTTCTCTTCTCTTCTCTTCTCTTCTCTTCTCTTCTCTTCTCTTCTCTTCTCTTCTCTTCGAGTAAGTTAGCGGTTTAAATTTGAGGCTTAGATAAAATTATCGAACGTCTCGCTCCTCGCCTAAAAATTTTTTAAATCCGCTCGTCCGCCCAAAATTGTCAGCTGCCCGTCAATTTATCTAAATATTTTGTTTAATCCGAAACCCCTTACTTTCATCTTTGCCCAATATTTAAAAATTATTTTAATGGTTCGGTTTGGCACTTTTCAATGGCATATAATAATACCTAGACTGACGAAGCAGTCATAATAATGCATTTGAAAGCGTCGTTGAATGCAAATCAGCTGGGCCCGCCATTTTGGCGACCCATACAGTAATTATTGTCATGTTAAAAACTAATTATTAAATAGAAAACTTGCTTCCTTTTCGATGATCAGCCAATTCTCTTAACAAAGTTCGCGTCAGGACATAGGAATAAATTGGCCCTCTCTTTTAAAATTTGTAATAATGACATACGGGTAACAAAAAATGGCATCCCCAGCTGTTTTTCATTTGATGTATACACTTTTAATGACTAATGCATCGTCAGTCTAGGTATTATTATTATTATATGTCATTGGGCACTTTTATAAAACATTCAATGGTATGTTATGCAACTATTTACGAAAATATGCAATACAAAATGCTTGAATTTTATCATTTTATGTTGTTGTATGTAAGTACTAAATATTTTTAAAAAATAGCTTTTTTTCGGTTTCGGAACGAATAACGGTACGAATAATACAAATTATTCGGTTCTTACAAAAACGAACACTAAATTAATCGATTCGAAATTTTAGAAATCGATTTTTTAAAGGCCCCAAATGTAGTTAAGGCGAAAATATGGGAATTTTTGCCATTTCACCCCAAATAAAGAGATGAGAGAAGTTGTGCAAACATGACAAATCAGTTGAACTCTCTCTGATTTGTTGCGGACCGTTAGATGCTAAAATGCTTAAAATTTTTTGTATAGATTGATTTCAAAATATTATTTTAGAAATCAATTTTTTTTTTAAGGCTCCAAATGTGGATAAGGCGAAAATATAGGAATTTTTACCATTTCACCCCAAATAAAGAGATGAGAGAAGTAATCTCTCTGATTTGGTAAGATGACTAAAATGTTTAAAATTTTTTGTATCGATTGATTTCAAAATATATCCTATCTTTTATATTTTATTAAAATTCAATCTAAAAAAAAAATGTAATTTTGAAAATTTTTATTTTATAATTAAAAACTTTCTCTTTTTTAATCTCCGCTAAAAAAACAAAAAATTTTTTTTTGATCTAAATTTTTACGTAATGATGAAGTCAGATCAATTTTCGACAATTTTATATTAAGTAAATAACTAATAACAAAATGAAAACCAATTAAAAATTTTTTTTTTTAATATATATATTTTTTTGTTATTTGTTAAGAGAATGGGAATCAGAGGAATAGAGGGGGGGGGGGTTCTTTATACATTTAGTCCTCTGATTTCTTAGAATTTTGATTCTAATATGGTCTAAATATATTAAAAAAAATATATGTGAATAAGAATAAAAGAAAGAAGGAAGGGAGGAAGGAAGGAAGGAAGGAAGGAAGGAAGGAAGGAAGGAAGGAAGGAAGGAAGGAAGGAAATTAACAAACTCTTATATCCATAAATCAAATCGTAATTTACTTTTTCAGGCTAGTGATTCCGCGTAGCCGCTCGCTAATAGTTTTTATTTTTAACGCCGCCGCCTACTACAACTTTTCTCATTGGTAAAAATTATTATAAACTTGCTAAAAAAAGTTTCATTTTCTTTCTTTCCTTTCTCTCCTTTCTTTCTTTCTTTCTTTCTTTCTTTCTTTCTTTCTTTCTTTCTTTCTTTCTTTCTTTCTTTCTTTCTTTCTTCCTTCCTTCCTTCCTTCCTTCCTTCCTTCCTTCCTTCCTTCCTTCCTTCCTTCCTTCCTTCCTTCCTTCCTTCCTTCCTTCCTTCCTTCCTTCCTTCCTTCCTTCCTTCCTTCCTTCCTTCCTTCCTTCCTTCCTTCCTTCCTTCCTTCCTTCCTTCCTTCCTTCCTTCCTTCCTTCCTTCCTTCCTTCCTTCCTTCCTTCCTTCCTTCCTTCCTTCCTTCCTTCCTTCCTTCCTTCCTTCCTTCCTTCCTTCCTTCCTTCCTTCCTTCCTTCCTTCCTTCCTTGATACTTATTATCTTAGAAAATTTGACTATTAACTTCTTTTTTTTTTAAAAAAAAAGATAATTATCATGTACAAAAAAAAGGAAGATTTTGCTCAAATTGAAAAAGTATCTTCCTGTGTTTAAATTGGATTCTAATTGGCTATTCTTGTAGCTGGAACTCGAGAATATATTTTTTTTATTGGCTAAAACTGAAAATCTTGGAAATTCCATTCTCCTTATTTATTTTTTCTCCAAAAATAAGTTTTTAAAAATTATACTAAGTAAAGATATAGAGGAAAAAAAATTAATAAATAACAACACTATTAATGCTATATGATTAAGGATATCGAATCAGATTTTGATTCGGAATGAAAATAATAGCAAAAAAAATATATATTTCTCACAAGGGTTTACAATTTGAGTCGGCTCCATATCACGGGAAACTATATCGTTGGGTAATAGAGCCATTTCTATTGGCTGTTTTAGCCGGATACAACGGCTAAGAATCGTTTTTAGTTTATAGTGTACAAACTAAGTGTTGTTAAATGGCCCGGTTTTGAGTCGATTTTTTTTAAAAACGGGCCAACTCAATATTTTTAGCCAGAAAGATAATTCTTCAGCCTCGGAGATTTCGCTATAGAAGTAAAAAATTTCAGGCTCGAGTAATATTTTTCTGGATAAAATATTGAGATAGACTTTCTAAGAATTGTCTCAAATCTAGCCATTTAATAATACTAAGGAAGACTATAGACCAGAGCCCTCTAGACCCCCTACACCCCTCTCAAACCATTGACGCTAAAACCTATAGATGACTAAAATAAAATGGACAGTGACTAGCTGTGTTGATTAAATTATTGTCAGGGGCTAGCCCATCTTCAAATAATAGAAAAAAAAATTTTTATAGATCAAAAAAAATATGATAACAAAGACCTGCAGGTCCGGACCTAAACCCGGCCGGGTACACGGGCTTGGCCGTATTTTAACTTTTTAAATATATCCGGGCCGGGCCTGGAAATTTATTTAAAAATATCCGGGCCAGACAGTATATTCTAAAACTAAATATTTGAAATAGCGATTATTAGCTATAAAATATATATATAATATATTTTTAAAAAATCCGGGCCGTGCTTGAAATTTTTTTTAAAAAAACCGGTCCGGGCAAATGATACTTTTGCAGGTCTCTGTGTCTGTATAATATATATGCGAAAAAAATTTCGAAAGGCCTCACACCAATTTACACGGATTTAAAAAACGGTATGAAATTTTTTGATATATAAAGATTTGGTTTCTTTCTTTTTAATTGATTTGATAAAGATAATAAAATTTAGGTGCGTTACGATTAAAATTTCAGGAAATGAATGAATGTTTGTTCCGGTTTCAGGGTTCGGTTTACTCTCTGATATTATATACCATCCACCCATAGGCGTAATCAGGCCAGGGAGAGGGGTTAATTTGCCTTGTTTTCGTAAATTTCCATTTTAAAGCTAATAAAAAGTTGTCCCTATCTCCTCCTACCCCCCTCCCCAACCCACTCCCTCAAAAAAATTTATATGAACTAACACCAAAATAAACAAGAATTTGAAAGGAAATTTAGTAAAAAAAAAAGTTGATAAACTTTTAAAAATAAACGACTTATAAATTTGAAATTTTTTTAGAAAAAACCTAAAATTTCTAAGAAAGCCAAAAGGTCTACAATAACTGGACCTAAGGATCTCCAACGGGGAAAAAAAAACCCCTCCCTTCCCCCAAACAAGACCTGGTTATTCATCCATATATATATATATTTATTTTTTAAAAAAAATTTTTTAAAAATTAAATAATTTTATTCCCCCCCCCCCCCCCATATATAAAGTTGTAATAATAATATTTACCGGTTAATTCTATCAGAACATCGATATCTTTTATATCCTGCCGGCATTTTGTCCTCCAGAGCACGTGACCGTACACCAATCGCCTCAGGGTCTTGCATACACGCTCCGTTCGCGCCAAATCTTCTCCTTTTAGCCTGCCCAATATATCAACCAGAATATTCTCCGGCAAGGACAATATCATCATCATAAATCGTTTTCAAAATTAAAATATATTTATATATTTTTTATTATGTTTAAAAATTTTATTTTTATTAAAAATATTAAAATCATTTACATTTTTTTTTTATTACACACAAAAAAAAACACCAAAATAAAGGGATAAAAAAAAATAAAATATAATAAATTAATAAAAGAAAGAAATATAATAAAAAATATATAAATAATAAAAATAAAATAAATAATAAAGTCGCTGTCACATTTATTATTATTATTATATATTTTATATTTTTAAATATAAAAAAAAATACTTAAAATGGTAATTTTTTTTTAAAATAAGATAAAAGTTATTTTCAAACATATTTTTCAAAGATAATTTTATAAACGATTATATTATGAGTAGCTGATAACCAATTTTGCCTTTATTTTGATTATGGATGTCAGAAACTTATCTTATACAAAGTCGTGAATAAGAAATTTTACTTTTATTTTGATGAAAAGTCACCTTTAAGCTTGTTAGATCATATTTGTATATTTTCAAATGTATTTAAGATAAAATATTTTCAAACATTTTTTTTTTATAAACGATTATATCATGATCATAAATGGCGACATAAAAAAGAATCTCTAAATATAAAGAAATTTAGGAAAAAAATAATAAGGCGGAGGTAGGAGATGACACCAGGGAGAAGGATTGGTAAGTAAGTAAAATGGTAGAGAGTGGAGGTTTGAAATTAGCGTGGAGCCAACCAGCCCCGTGTACTCGTTTAAATTTTTTTTGAAACTCGCCCGCAACCCGCCCAATGCTTGAAATATTTTAAAAAGCCCGACCGGAAAACCGGCTGGCTAAAAAGTCATCCATCGTAGAACTCTGACACAGATCTTTAAAAAGATTTTCTAACGGAAATAGAAACCCCTGGTCGGAATCTCGGGTGTCCATTATTATTTCTTTCCCTAAGGCTTTTTTTTTAAAAATAGTTATTTGTTAGGCCCTCATCTGCGAAAGATTCCCAAAGGCGTTCATTTAGTGCGAACAGGAAATTAACTAATTATTTAGTAGGTCGGAGTGAACAAATCGAAATGAGAATCATCACCCTCCCCAGACTAAAGGGAGTAATTAGACAAGGATAATACTTATCTCTTCTTCTGAAGCTATCATTGAAAATTCCTATTTGTTTCGAGATTTGAAAGACATCATATCCTCTCTTGGTAATTTATGAGATATTATAAAATCCATGGGAATATTCGCTTCGGGGTATAATCATATTCAAAAACGAATTCAAATGAGTAATTCAAATAGGATGCGTTGTATAAGAAAATCGAATAATTTAATATTTGTATTCGTAATGACGAATTATTAAAATTTACCAGAGTTGTTAAAAGATACTTTTTAAATGGATCTAGATACAAATACATCGTCTAAAATAATATCTAGATACAGATATTTTAATCAAAAATCTATCTAGATACAGATACCACATTTTTATATCTAGATACAGTATCTAGATCCTTAAACAACTCTGAAATTTACTATAAACCTATTAGATTGTCATATACTTTGATGTTGTTAAAAGGTTCGATTTAAGCCGATTTTTTTAAAAACGGCTAACTCAATATTTTAGCCCGAAAAATATTGTTCTAAGCCTAGAGATTTTCGTTAACAGATGTTCAAACCTTTGTGCCATATATGAGGAAAATCTTAAGGCTTTGGCATAATAATTTTCCTGAAAAAATATTGAGTTAGCCGTTTTCTAAGAAATTGTCTCAAAAAATGAAACGTTTGAAAAATACTACGATATACCGTGATACTAAATTATTTAATTCGTTATAAATGGAAAGAGTGGTAAAGGAGAGCGCTGATAGCCCTTAATATAATTTGAAAATAATTATTAGTTCTCCCTATTTAACGCTACTTTATGAAGAGAAAATTATACCTTCTTTCTTTCCTTCTCCTTCCTAGTTTAGTTTCTCTTTAAAATTCCTTATCCCTTATCCCATCTCCTTTCTCCTAAAATTCTATTTTTATATCTTCAATTATTAATTTTTATTTTAGATTAAAAAAAATAATTATTATTATTACGCCATTTATACCTATTTATTGATATATTATATATCAACTTCTATTCAAATAAAAATAAACCAAAATGACTAAAAAACAAATTTATTTTTTATTCATTATTTATTAATTATTAATTATTAATTATTAAATTTAAAAAAACAAATCATTTTATTTAAATAAGTTATATTTTAAAGCTACTTTTCAAGAAAAAAAAATAAACGCGCTAATGCTAGAAAAAAAGAATTAGCGCTTATTTAAGATTGTTCAAATACGTATTCGAATAATTCGTTATTCGAATAATTCGTTATTCGAATAATTCGTTATTCTAATCGAATTCTTTTTTGAATTAGTCTACAAACAGAGGAGTGACCTTTATTTAAGAACGATAGATTAGCCATAGTTATATGGTAGTGGGTTATTTTTTAGCCAAGGATAGTTTAAAAATTTTTTTATTTAAGGATGAATCTCAAAGTTTTCTTAAACACCTCATTCCCAATCCAATGAGGTCGAGACTCCTGATGACTAAAGAAGTGCCGCCCTGGTGAGATAACCCTCCTTGTAATTTCAAAGATCCAACTGCTACCTCCTATACCACGTGTTATAAGACCATGTTATAAGCCAATTTATCGCAGTAATTGATATAATTATTACTTTAAATTCTATATTTTTTAAATTATGAGACTTTTTATTATCGTTAGACTCTAGAGAAACTTATCCAGCTAAGAAAATACAAGAGGTAGATATATTTAGTTCCGATTTGCTATTCAATCCATAGACACTACCCCTCTTATAAAAAAAAATATTCCCTTTAATAGACTGTAAATCATAGTGATTATCAAGTTTTTCTTCCAGTCTACAAAGGATAGGTTTTACCCCGCTAAGCCCACCCGTTCTTTGTTAATCCCCCTCCCGTTGTTACAGTTTTTAAAACCCCCTAGCCAAACCCTACTCATTTCATAGATGGGCGTACTCTGGCTTGGTTTAAAAAAAAATTCATAAATTATTAAATATATATATATTTTTTTTAAAATATATATTTAATGAGGTTACAAAAAAACATTTAATTTTAATATAGTTTAAAAAAAATAAGATTGTCCAAGCAAATGAAATAAAATATTTTTACAATGTTTCTTTTTGCTAAAAAAGATTGAGGAAAAAAATTGTATGTTTGTTCTATTAGAAGTCTTCCTATCTTTTAACATAGAATTTTTTTTTCAACGAAAAATAAGTATGTCCAGAAAAAACCTTCTAAGCAAACAGAAATGCATTCAGGTCCGTCCCGAGGTGAAAAAAATTTCGATCAATTCAACCCGAGAATTTTCTAATTACTCACCCGCACATTATATAACCCGATCGCTAATTCTTTACAACTCACCTATCCCTAAGCGCCCTTAGAATATACGAGTTTTAACGGGATGCGCTAAAACCCCGTTTATTGTAGACCCCTTAATTTTTTTTATTCATACTTTATCTTTTAGATTATTGTATTCATAAAGAAACCTATTTTCAGAGGACCTAGTCAGGGATTTAAAATTTAGGGACCATCCAAACATGGTCCAAATTTATTTTTAACCATTTCTAATAAGTTAATTTAGTCCGTTTCTTTTACCTTAAGTATATTAAGCATTAATTATGGTAGATGGAGTCCTTTTTAATAAATTAAATCTTGAAAAATGATGACTACATTCACACACAACACACAATATACACACAACACAAATGAGGGAATGATAATTATATAAACTCTAATTTAATTAATATATAATTTATACAAAAATGATGTCAACCAACTCTAACAAAACGATATTAATTAAGCTAACATTATATATATTAATTAATTAACTTTAATATAAAAAAGAAGATAACAAATTAAATATTAATTTATATATTTTTTTTAACTTTTTACTTTTATAAATATAAATAAGCATCATACATAATATAAAATTGTGTCTGTTAGTAGGTATAATTATGGTAATGGTTAATATAATGGAAATATGGTTATATTGTAAATTGTAATACAAGAAATAACAAAAAAATTTATAGTTTAATTTTAAGCAATTTCTAGCAATAGGCAACAAAGATATATAAAGAACAAGAAGTGTAAGCTATGTTTATTATTATAATTACGAAAATCAAAATACGAAAAGCAGTTAGATCTTCACTGCTAAGAATATAGGCCCGAATATTTCTAAAGAGAAGAAACGTGTTATATTAAAAATAAAATAAAGAAATAGGTATAGTAATATTTAACATTTAGTTACGATTATAGTAATTCTGAACAAATAAGAATAAAATTAGTATTGTTTATTATAAATGCATCGATTTGAGCCTATCTTATTAAAACGGTTTAACAAATATTTCTCTCGAGGCTTATGTCAATATTTTCTGGCTAAAATATTTGGCCGTTTTTAAAAAATAGGCTCAAGTAGAGCCTTTTAACAACACTAATCAAAAAGAAACGAATTGCTGAATATTGACATTATATATAAATTCGTGATTTCTTCTTAGTTTTTTTTTAAATTTTTTTTTTAAAATGTATTAAAATACAAAACATTTTGCCATTTTTTGTAGAAAAAATTTAAATCTTTTTCTAAATGATCTATTTTCGATGATACATCCAGGGACGGGCACTTACCATAAGGTTAGGTAGGCTAAATGTCCACGAGGTTGGGACAAAATATAGATAATTTTTTTTTTGTGGGGGGGGGGGGGGTCGATTAAGTGCCAAATTAGGAATATATTATTTTTTTTAAAAAATTAACATAAACGAATTCAATATGAATGTGTGAGTAGATTTTTTTATATTTTTTCTCGTCCGCAGTGGTAATCCTCAAACGAGATAACTACAACCATTTTAAATATGAATTAACTAAAATAACCTATAATAAGAATCTAACAATAGCAATAAAGCCTTTTCTCAAGGTACATGGCATACAGTTCTAATCCTCAAACGAGATAACTACAACCATTTTAAATATGAATTAACTGAAATAACCTATAATAAGAATCTAACAATAGCAATAAAGCCTTTTCTCAAGGTACATGGCATACAGTTCTAATCCTCAAACGAGATAACTACAACC